GAGAGAGAGAGAGAGCGAGGGAGAGAGAGAGAGGGGGGAGAGGCAGACAGACAGACAGATTGTTTGTGAATGTGTGTATGTGTGTATGTGTGTATGCTTGTGTGTGTGTGTTAGTTGGTGCATCTCTCTGTGTGTACTTAAACGCATACTCTGCTTGTAATATAACGGGTAAGCACATGATATGTTTGTCAACCCAACGTGATCTTTTTACGGTGTACAAAGTGTTTTGCGACTAAGTGCAAGTAGCCCGAATCAATTCTGGGATTTTGATCAATTTAAATTTGTCTGTATGTTCTTTTTTAATATTCCTGTCCACAGACCACCTCCACTCCACATTCTTTTCCCTTTTCTCCTTTGGATGTCGGCTTTTTAAATTAAGATTTAAACTTATGTTTATCTACATGTGTGGTTACCATTCCTGTACAGCCACAGAAAATTTCACACAGGGATAAAACAGTATCTGTCTTATCTTATCTTAGCTTATGTTATGTTATCTGATCTTAATCGCATCCGATATCAGTTTTCAATTAACTGCGTCGCCTTTTGACACACTTAAAAGGAAAAGAAATCAAATGAGGTAGTGCTTGATGAAGCCTGCGAGGGACGCTCAATGTTAAAAACAATCAGGAAACGACAAATGCAGTTTCTGGGACACCTGAATAGACATAAGGGTCTTGAACATCTAGCTCTCACTGGCAAAATTGAGGGCAAGCGAGGCACGGGTAGGCCCAGAACAACATACTTAAGGAACCTATACAAATGGGTAACAGTGAAAGATCAGGGAAACGTAGCTTTTTTTAGAGCAACCGAGCAAAGGAATTGATGGAGAACCATGATCGCCGATGTTAATTGACCACGATTTTTTAAAATGTGCCCGAGACAGGAATCAGGAACGAGTGAACTACCATGATCGTCGACGTCTGCTCCAGATCTGACACTTGAAGAAGAAGTAGCCTACCCAAGCCTGTCATGGAAAATCGAACGTGTTTGAAAGTGAAGGATTTTAGTGTTCCAGTGTGAGGTAGCTTTTGCCTCGCCAAGAAGGAAAATAATTATGGCCGCCTTCAAACTATATCCAACCAAACCAAGATTTAAAAAGCATTTGATGAATCTTTCAGAAGCAATCACCAGGTATTTGTCTTGTTAATTTTCACACAGGGTGATAGAAAAGCAAAACGCTTGATAGACACGATGAAGGGAATCTACTCAGTTTTAGTAGAGGTTTTACGGCGCTCGCAACTGTATAAAGTCATATGAGCGCCAGAAGATTAGAGGTGTTACGAGAGAGTAACAAACATAAAAAAGAAGATCGGGGAGATAAGGGCGATAGATGTTTGATAGGAAAGTAGAAGCAAACCACACCAGAGCACTCACAGAGGAATCTACGTTTATTGTCGTGTAGATGGTTCGGAAATGAATTAACAAAATCAGTTGACAATGGCAGTTAGGAAGGGTGTCTTTTTTTTCTTTCTATTTCTCCCAGTCAGCGGTTGACCCGGGTTTGAGGATGAAGGCGTGTGAGATGAGCATGAGACTCAAGTCTTTGCTGAGTCGGCAGAAATGTGAGTGGCAGTGTGTGGGCAGAATCAAGGTGAGTGGGGCACTGTGTTTGTGTCGCAATTTGTGTGTGTGTTTGTGTGTGGTTTTGTGTGTGTGTGTGTGTGTGTGTGTGTGTGTGTGTGTGTG